CTTTGCTCAAGGATTTTGAGTTTTTCGCTTGGATAGAGCATTTCCTGCACTCCATTTCAATGTAAACTTGAGTAGAGATGCTTGAGCTACGATTTGGAAATATTGGATTTGGGATGGTCTTTAAGAAGATATTTTTTGTAGATATGCTGACCTAAGAATTGTCTTAGGAATGTAAAAAAGTGATGGAAAAGTCACAAGAAGCATGTGAAATGAGAAATCTATAGAGGCAAGTATAAAATAACAAGGATGGTTAGGAATTTGGTTGCAGAACAAACATAGTGCAGTTTTTTAAGAGGCAGAGGCACACAATCACAAAAAGAAGTGAGACGCACTTTGTTTTCTTGGCAGAGAGATAAGACACATGATCCAGAAATATGTAGCAGTCTGATTTGTCTGCAAATCTTCACATAGCTCAAACCACTAGAAATTTTTGAACATGTATCTCAAATATATATTATTTAAAATTGTGTGTGTGTATTTGATGTATCTTTACCTATATCTCAAGGGCAAATTTCCTTATAATGATAGTGGATATGAATCTATATTTTGATAACTTTGAAGTGGCAAAAATGTTTCAGTAACTTTTCATATTTTATTAGACTAGAGTATCATTGTTTTATCTCATAATATGGCTGAAGGAAAGCTTGAGAGGGAGTAGAAATGTCAACTCTGCCATTTTTTTGTTGTTCACTTGTGTTTATGGTAGTTTTATTTTTAATACATGGTTTCTTGGCAATTTAAAGCCATTTATCCATTTTGTAAGAATTGCTTTATTTAAAAACTATGATAATACATTCTGGAAACCCACTTATAAATGGCCAGGTGAGCTGCAGCACCTGACAGTGTATGAACCTGTGTGGGCAACACTGTCAACCCTTCCCTTTGTGTAGTTCCCCGGCCTCCCTCGGAGGCCTCACCTGCATCTTCAGGCACAGGGCCTTCTGACGTACGAACAGATGAGACTAGTGCCGATCAACATCTTAAGTATCAGTGAAGTTGACTCTCTTATGTTGTTTGATTTAAACAGTTCTAAGACTTTCTGCACCCAGAAGGAGGGTGGACTCTTACCTTGGAACCCTCCCTGTTAGCTAATGAAAGGCTGGACAAACAATTTATGATGTATGATAATAGCAAAAGGTTGAAATGTGTAACTCTGTGATTAAGCCCTTGATCTTTAGAGACACAAAAACCTACCATGTGTCTTGTGAGCTATGTGATGATGGAGAATTTATGCTATCTCTTCAAACCTTCATGTGCTTATCTGTAGCATGTTTGTGTTTTATTTGTAGCTGCCTCATATTGCTATTTGGAAAACTAAATTATTATAAGTGTAAATTTCCTGCACATTCTAAGCTGCTAATATTTTAATAATCTTAATTTTGATGACGGGAGAGGAGGAAGAGAAGTGGTAGGTAAAGTTCACTCTAAGATTCTTCATCTCAGAGATAGAGGGTATATATTTGGTTGGAACTGAGAAAGCAAGCTTGAGATTTGACTAGGAAAAAAGACTGCAAGCTCTTCACAATGATCTTATGCTATGTATATTAAGTGATATTGTAATACACAGTTGGAAAATTTAATTTTTAAAATTACTCCCTATTTGGAAGGGAATTGATGAGATAGAAGAAGAAAAAAGTAGAAAAAAATCCAATAAGCATAAATTCTGCACAGTGAACCAGGAAATTATTCTTGCTCTTCTCATATTGGAGGGTCTGGAAAAGTTCATCCATGCAAAGGGAGGGCCAGCTCGTGAAATCTATATACGTGTTTTGTGAAGTAGAATAAAAATGTTTTTATAAGCAATGTCCTTGTAAGTCATATGTATGACAGGGGGGCAGCCTTAAGCATGAGATTTAGGTCTGATTTGAGATTCTAGAGTCATGACTATGAAAATCATGACCATTTTTATACCCCCCAGCAATAATATTTGTTTTACTGTTCTTAAAAGATTATTGTGAGGATAAATGATACATATGAAAAAAATCACTCAAATTTGTAAATTTCTAAATAAATTTCACTTCTTACTATTAATAATAATGATTACAGAGTATTAGGAATTAATTGAAAATATAAACTCTCCCCAAATCTAGGATTCATGGATGTAAAATCAAAGCATAAATTTACTCATTGACTAATTTTCAACAGATTAATTGCATTTCTTTGTAATCTTTGTTTCTCAAGTGACATGCTCTTTATGAACAACTTCTAATTTAAAAATAACAATAATATCCATTTTAATAGGTGACAATCAAATTTGGAAATGGAAATCTATTTTCTTTCTGCTTTTTAACTTACTTTATGAAGATTACATATTGGCTTACTTTATAATTACCATCATGATCACTCAGCTCCTGAAATGGGTTTTGTTTTTCCTTGCAAGTATAAGAAGTCATATTTTCTCCAGGATAAACCTATTACACTCTTTGTGAAAAAGATGGAGGAGATAATGGTAAAATTTAAAGCTGATCGGGCCTATGCTGCTTTAGTTTATTGTAAAATTGAAGTTCCAATATGACATCATATTTCTATATATCAAAAAAAACCTCGCCCTTGTTCGTATGGCATTACGTGGCTGTTTATGGGAGGGACTCTTTAGATTGGCTGCAGTAGTATATGAAGAAATGTTTATCATATAGTTTTTCCTGTTCTCTGCCACTTAGTATGTTAAACTGTGTATTTAATCATCTTCTAAGGGAAAACACATAGATTCATAGATAGATTCTTCTTGCAATAGAGACATTCAGCAAGATAGCTCAGAAGTGGGTGATTAACTTGAAATAATGGTGGCCCTAAGGGTTTCAGGCTTTTTCTACTTGACAACATTTTAGGTCTGTTATTATCTTAGGTGAACTCAATTCCCCAAGAAAGAAGATGCTGAATTAATTCTTCTGTGACTTATGTCGTCAACATAGCTGGGACAGAAATAAAGCTATGTGCCTCTATCATTTATGAGATTCTAGGTAGCTATTTTTTAAAACTTATTTCACAAAAAACTGCTTAGTTTCCTATACCCTGATAATGATTGTGGGCTCTTAGAAATAAATCTTCACACACAGACAAATGAGATTAAGTATGTGCACGCATGCACACACACACACAAATTCATTTACTGTGGAGAATTCAAGAGTACTATTTTATTGGATTTTCCCTGATACAAGACATAATAAAAAAGAAGTTCCTTCAAAGTAAATGTTTGCCTCCCCGTCTTCAAGCATCCCATGCAGTGGATGAGCCCTATTCAATCTCTTCAGGTTTTCAGGACGGACCACACAGGCTACCTGACTCATTCCTTGCCAAGATTGCGTCACTCACATTTTTTCAGGAAGTTTAAATCTAAAAATAACCAAAATCCTATTTTTGTGTGTGCGCAAAGATCGACTACAAAAATAACTGATCGTAAATGTTTGTACAGTGACCCAAAATATACATAAAAGATGTTATAACCTGGTTAATAATGATTTGATATATATAGATGAATTTAATTGGAATGTATTTCTTGAGTAAGCTAATGCATGCTTTTTCCAAGCTGTATGATTCTAGTGTTTTTTTTATACATTGTCTTCTTGGTTCATGTTGGTGTATAATATTATCATTAATTTACTTTTGGATTAAGGAAGCAATTATTTAATTTCTTATTTGTTCTTATTTTGTCTGGAATTATTAAAATCTACTCAATAAGTAAATTTCTGGAAGTTCTACAAAGCAAATACCCCCATAGGATAGAAGCAAAATAATTCAAAGAGGAGCATTAAGCTTAAACATGTGTTTCAGCATAAAAAGCATAAAAAGCTGTGTCTTAAATAGTAAAAGTTCATTGTATTAGTGACTATGCCGATTGTATCAGAGGGAAAAATTTCAAATATTGAAACTGGTAAAATGAGAGAAGCAAAGAAAAGAAAGGATATTATATAATCAAGAATATTCAATCCAGAGCAACTACCTAACCTGGCATTTTCCAAGGAGAGCTATGTGGAGCACTAATCTATCATGATATGCTATGCTGTAATTTATTAGTGGATGTTTCCACAAGACTTTTATAATCAAAGAAATCTGAGAAATTCTTCATGTTCTGAGTCACAGTGTATCTAAAGTTTCCGAGAAGTCTTAAGTTAATTGGAAATTTGTAGACATTTTTTATTGTGGTAACATACACATAACATAAAATTTACCATTTTAAAGTGCACAATTCAGTGTCATTAAGTACATTCACAATGTTGTACAAACATCACCACTGTCCAGTTCCCAGCTATAATAGCTTTGTAATTGTTAATTTGGCCTTGGAATAGTTTCTTCTGGAATATTTAATAGTTTCTTCTAGAATATTTAATTTAATTTTAAATATATTTATGGAAATGCTGATCTAATCCAGTTCTCTCATTTTAAAAATTAAAAATATGAACTTGAGAAGGGCTGGCTCTGTGGCCTAGTGGTTAAGTTCAGTGTGTTCTGCTTTGGCAGCCTGGATTCAGTTCCCCAGTGTGGACCTACCCCACTTGTTGGCAGCCAAGCTGTGGTGGCATCCCACATACAAAACAGATGAAAATTGGCACAGATATTAGCTCAGGGCAAATTTTCCTCAAGCAAAAAGGAGAAGATTGGCAACAGATGTTAGCTCAGGGTGGATCTTCCTCAGCAAAAAAAAAAAAAAAAAAAAAAGATCTTGAGAGATTAAACACCTTGCTCAATATCATGCAGGTAGTTGGGACACAGCCAGTATCTCATTCAGAGTTTCCGTTTCCAAGAAGAGGGTCTTTTCTCTTTCAAGGTATTTTTCTCATTTCCATTTATCTTGCTTCAATCTAACGATCAGTAATCTACAGAAAATACATTAAAATTTTACCTGGAAAAATTCAGGATTAAAACAAATATCTCTAATCTTTAAAAAGGTACATTACTTTAAAAAGCTATATTGTACTTGTTTTATAACTCTCTGTCTGTGATTTTCTTATGAGAACTTTCATTGTAAGAACTTTCTTTAATTCACACAATTCTATTCTTAGGTCTTTTTAAGATTGTGGCTGATAAAGCTCCATACCTTACCATGGAAGAAATTACAAGGACCGTCCCTATTGGACCAAGTAGACTAGGGCATCCTTGCTTCTATCATCAGAAGGGTATAAAACTAGAGAATCTCATCATAAAGCAGAATGAACAAATCATGCTGAACTCAGTTGAAGAGATTGATGGAGAAATAATGGTGAACTGTGGAGTGGTAAGAAATCACCAAAATCACTCATTTACTTTGCCTTTGTCACAAGAAGGAGAATTCTATGAGTGTGAAGATGAACATATTTATACCCTAAAGGAGATTGTCGAATGGAAGATCCCCAAGAACAGAACACGAACTGTGAAACTTACAGATTTTTCAAATAAGTGGGACTTAACTAATCCATTCCCTAAAGGTTTCTATGGTACTCTGATTCTCAAGCCTGTTTATGAAATTCAAGGTGTGATGAAATGTAAGTATCCAGTGCGAATAATGCTCTATGGACATGAGCATTGTGGGGTTTGGGGAGGAGAAAGTATTTAGAGTCTGAAGAATGAGAGTCTGTTCCTGACTTGTCCATTAAGGCCCCCGGGAGTTAGATTCTCATCTATAAGTAAGCAAACCATGTATTTTGGGCAAAGATCCAATTGAATAATGTATATGAACGCATGTTATAACTTTGTGTGGTGCTATCCAAGCGTAAGGTGCTGCAACCGTCAGGTACAGAAAGATTGAAATGCCAGTTCATTTTTATCACCTCCAGTTACACATGGTCAGAAAAGAGCTGCTTTTTAGAGTATTCATGGCATAAAGCATATTTTGTTAGATAGAAGCTTTCTTGTATGGAGGTGGTAAACAAAGAGATAAGGATGCACAGTTTTCTTAATGTGTCCCTTACTCCTATTTTTGGGACAGACCCCCTCCCCCCTTATTTTTCCTTCCGGCATCCATTACTGGTCATAAATCTTCCTATTAGCTGGGAGTCTCTTTAACTTAAGGGAAAACGATGTGACAAATTAATTCACACAAGAATGTGTTTTAATATGTAATCTTCATCGGATTATTTGCATTTTAAACTAGGAATAGCTGAAACGAGCATTGTTACCCCAAAGGAATTAATACTTTAAATTTTCAAGATTATGGCACATAAGTGGAACAAGAATGGAGCAAAGAGTTCTGTATTTGCAGTCAAAATTCCTGGATTCTAACTCTGGGTCAGTAACTTCCTAGGTGGCGACTTTGGGTAAGCCATTTAGACTGTGTCTATGCAGAGGGAAGGATGAAACCCCTCTTGCCTGCTTCTTGGAGTTCTTTTGAGAAGGAAATAAGGTTCTCTTAAGGTACTAAATATAACACACTTGAGAAAGAAAAGCACTATGTAAAAATGTTTGGTCAAAGGTTACCCTTGGATATCTCAAATTCTATTTATCTCTGCTCCCGCTAGTCACTTATACAGCTATGAAAAATATTGATATGAACCTTTGGGTAGGTTTTAGAACTGCATGTTAAATTTTGTTACAAATATTTAACCAATAATTGATTAATTCATTTGAACTAAATGTATACGTAAGGAATCCCACTCAAATAGAGATTATTTTTTAATACTACAAAAAATTGAGGCCGCAGCATAATTGTTTTTTAATAGGATAAAGAATTGAAGTCACAGCAAATTTTAGACCTCACATAGTGCTCTGTTAGCTATCCCAAAATGTGCAATCGAAATTGACAATTGAGTTTTCCTCAATTTTCATAAATAATGAATAACGTTTTCCTGCTTTAAAATTTGTTAATTTTCTGAAACCACTGGCATCTCCTGTCACACAGCTGCTTGTGAAGGGCAACCCAGAACATAAACATGTGAGCAAGGTGGTTACAATATCGAAAGAATTTAGATTAAGGATCAAGAAAGTCTTCTTTGAGGAAATGGCATTTAAACTAAGACCTGACGGATGAATAGGAGATAGTCAGGCAAAGAAGGAGGGGACAACGTTGGAGGAAGCTGTAGCAGCTTGCATGAAAGCAGGTAAGCAAGATTGGACCTCCAGTGCAGCTGGGGTGCAAAGAGAGGAGAAGGCAGGTTGAGACAATTATCAAAAGATGCAGTGAGGGAGTAGAATCAGTCCTGGAGGGTCTTGAAATATATGTTAAGTGGCTAACATTTGTCCAAAGGACAAACCAATAAAGGTTTCAGCTGGGAGGAACAAGGTGAAAGGAGTGTAATGAGGCTATTGAGTCCGTGGCAAGGTACCTTGGGGTTAATACACTCAGAAGGATATTAGAGGAGCTGTTAGTCTCAATGGGTATTGAAGAAGTACAACCAGCAAGATTTAGAGGTCTATTGGAAGGGAGAAAGAAGTCAATCTGATTCCCAGGCACTGGCTTGATCTACTGGTAATGGTGGTGCAGTTTATTAAATATAAACATTGACAGAAGAGCAGGAGGTATTAACCGAATTGTTTAGATGGAGCTAAATATGGTTTCTGCTAACCAAGGTCCCAGAAGAAAGCCTTTAGTTGAAATAAAGTCCTTCCCCAAATGCATTAGTACAATTTCCATTCTTTCCTGATATTAAAATTGAATTTTGATTTTAATTGTTTTGGATCTTTAATTTCTTAGGGATTATTTTAAACATTAGTTCTTATTGTTTAGCAATTTTGGGACAGACGCTGTATGAGACTGTTTTGTATGTGTCCTGACTGCAGAATATCCCTGGAAATAGAGGACGGGTGTCCAACACAATAAGCCCAATTTTAAAAATAATTGTCATTGTAAATATTTTTCTTCTAAATGCAGACTACTTTTTAAATCAACTATGGTCTTGTTTTCCAATATTCTTTCTTATATTGAAGATTCAAACTTGCCTTGAGGTCAAGGGCATGTTGCTTGCTAAGTTACCTAGAGGTCAAGAGCGTGTTGTTTTCCAGTGGCTTTGAGTGTCAAGCAGTTCAAACCCCTCGTGGCTCGAGTTCTTCCTTTCTAAGGTGACAAGAAAAAGCACAGGTCTGAGCCAGGGATAGGAAGTTTTAGAGAAACCTTAGGGGAAAAAGCAAGACGAAAAAGATTGAGAACTACAGGAAGCTATGAAATATTGATTTGCTGAAAAGAGAACATAGCAAGTAAATAGAGAAAAGAGAGAATATGAAACCTTTACTCCTAATGCTAGTTTCTAATATGCTATTAACGTGAAAATTTAGGTGCCATAAAGAAGAAAAGTAGCAGAAAGTGTTTAAATGAAATATTTGTTCCTGGAAATTCTTGGTTATAATCCCCGTGACAGGCCTGAAGCCCCTCTAATTGGCACCATACATTTAATGATTTTTAAACTATTTTATGTCTTTGGGAAATAGATATAAATAACAGTCCAAGGCCTTTAATTACTGGTCTCATATAAGTCATAGCAAGATATTTTTGTGTCTTTCATAGGAAGATAAATTTAATATTAATGTAATAAGTGAAATATAGAATGGTTGCAAATGAAAAATTGAGTCAACTATTTAAAGTTGCTTTCAAAACATCAGAAATCTTGATCGTTAAAACTTTTTAAAGGTGTTATGTTTCGATGTATAGATTGATAATTATTTCTTCCTTAACAGAAATTTTAAGAGTTGGAAAGCTGCGTATCAGTTTAGGAAAAAACTCAGGGCCTTCCAAAATTTGGAGGTACAGTTTTTGCTCAGATATCTGACATATTAATTCATTTATAAGCGGAGGACTGAAATCACGTGAGCAGAAAGGAGATATCAAAAAGTCAGTATGTGAATGTCTTATAATAGGTGATAAATGAATAGGAGAAAAAATACATTGATCTTTTAGTGTTCTGAGACTTCTTCTTTCTCTCATTTTATTTAAAAAATTAATTTCAATTTTTGTCAAAGTCAAAAAAGTCAAATAGTGATAAAAAGACTTATAACAAAGTCATCAGCAAACCTTGTGCCCTTGACCAGTCCCAGATTTCTCCCCCATTCTGCTACTTCCTCCTCCCTTTCCTCATTCTCTCGATATATGGTAAGTTGCGGTTAAGCATAAGTATTTTCATTATTGTGACTATTTGTTGCTCAGTCAAGTGATGTAAAATGTCTAAATAACTCTTTGTTTTTCTGTAATGATGACCTTATTGTTTCACTGTTTTTTTCAATCGTCTCCTAAATCTTGTATTCTCTAACATCTTTATGAAAAAAGCCATTCAATGCAATTTTCCACATAGCCCAAACTGTCAGGAGATCTACCTTTTCTGTTGTTTTTCCTCCTGAAATACCTCCTGGAATCCTCCATACTCATGCTCCAATCTGAATTTGTTCCTTTCCACTGTGTAAGTGCTTGTCTTGGTCAGCTTGGGCTGCTATAACAAAAATACCATAAACTAGTAGGCTTATAAGCAAATGAAATTTGTTTCTTGTAATTCTGCAGGCTGGAAGTCTGAGATTGGGTACCAGGATGGTTGAATTCTAGTGAGGAACCTCTTCTAGGCTGCAGACTGCTGACTTATTGTATCCTCACACAGTGGAGAGCGGAGAGGGGAAGCAAGCTCTCTCCCTACTTTCATAAGGGCACTAATCGCATTCATGAGAGCTCCACCCTCATGACCTCATCTAAATCTAATCATCTTCCAAGGGCCCCGCCTCGTAAGTCCATCACATTGCGGAGAAGGATTTCCATGTGTGGATACCGGAGGACACAAACATTTAGTTCATAGCAGTGCTGTCCCGGGGCTTCCATTTAAAACCATCCTGCTGTTTCCACTTTGACGTGATTCTGTGTTCGCTAGCAGTTTCTGGAATCAAGTAACTTCTTCCTTGGTTTTCTTCCAGTTTTGAGGAGCCCATCCTTCACTTGCTTCCTGATAAAGATGCAGAGAATATTAATTAGTTAAGTAAAGGACCTGCGTCTTTGAAAAATATTTATTTTACACTCGTAAGATTGGTAGTTTGGGTACTTATAGAATTCCAGGCTGAAAATAACTTCTCAGAATTTTGAAAACTTTGCTCCCTTTATCTTCTACCTTCCAATATTGCCTTTGAGAGATTATCCAGGGCCTTGAGAAGTGTCCCAGTAATGTGCTCTGTGGCCGGTCTGTTCTTTCATTGTGACGGCATTTTTCAGTCTGGATATTCAGGTCCTTCGTTTCTTGGAAAATTTCTTTGGTAATTTCCTTTCAACATGTTTTTCTCTTTTCGCTTTCTGTAACTTCTAATCTCACGTTGCAGCTCCTATACTGATCTAAGACTATTTTCTTTTCTACTTTATGTCTGCTTGTCTCTGGTTTACCTTTAGGGAAAATTTCTTCACTACATTTCCAGCTGCTTTAATAAATTTTTCATTTCAGCTATCAAATTTTTAATTTCCAAGAGTTATTTCTTGCATCATTTTTAGAATGTGACTGTGTTTTTGTTTTGAGGATGCAATATCTTATCTCTCTCAGACTATTTTACAATTTCTTAAAGTTTTCAACTGTTCCTTGCATTTTTCTGCCTC